AGCTAAACACACAACTACTTCACCCACAATCAAAGAGGAAGAAAATTGTGAAAGGTTTTATGGCAAACTTGTTGTTAATCAGGCAAAGAAAGAGTTATGAAAATTGAGACGGAATGTAAATATAACAGGGTTTGTGATCTTTTTTGTAAACGGCCATGCTGGGAGCAATTAGAAACACTGAGGGGATATTTGTCAGTTTGTAGGGAGGGCCGTGGAGACTTCTGGGGTCTGGTATCATTCTGTATTTTTTCACCCTGTGGCATTATCACCACTAGTGAAAGTCACAGGAGCAGAAGGGAAGAGGATAAAACCCTTATCTTCAAACATCAGCAGGGTTTTACTGGGGTTAGGATAGCTGAGTCAGGTTATGATAGCTGAATTGGTATCTGTTTTATATTATTATTATGAATTTTGTATTCTTTCCACCGTTTCCTCTCCTTGTTCAATGAAGCTGATTTTAAAGATTTAACATTGAAAGATGGGCTTGTTACCATAGCTCTGTTTATTTTCAATGCCCTTAAGAAGAATTAGGGGGAATTTTAGAAATTCTTAGATGAGTAAGAATAAAATTTTGCATGTAAATATTGGAAAAGGTTGTACTCCAAATCCAATGTACCCTAATGCAGGGTCAATCATATATATTTATTCACTCTAACATTTTTAAAAAAAATTCACAAAGGAAAAAACCATCAGTTCATTACTGAGGGAAGAAAAAAAATAATGTGTATAGAATTTTACATGAAGTTAAGAGTACATATGTTTATAGGGTACGTTCAAATATTGAATGTATCCACATAATGGTGAAATGGTCACTCAGTGTATGCTTGCTCAAAAAATATTGATATGTTTCAGAAAGTCACATTGAGTGTTTACATGTATACATATATTACATACTTAAAGTACAATTGAAGAAAATAGCAGAGAAGGAAACTTAAATTTATATAAACTCTAAGTAAAATGTCAGAAGAATCCATTGAATGTGTCCTGAGTTTTCCTCGTTCAGTTTTGGTTCATTAGTACTTGTTAAAAGTAGAACGGTACAGAGTACCTTAGAGTTATTGTTTGGAAAGAACGTGACCAAATATTTCACATAATGTTTCTTGTAATATTTAAAAAAAGAGAGAATATGAGTTATTGACATAATATATTTGTATAGGTTTAGTCCTATTTAAGTCTGTTCATGCATTGACTCAATTCTTGATGTGGAAAAACAGAGAACTTTTCAGGGAAATACGACAACTGTTTCAACACAGCCCCAGAAATTCCAATGTTGATTCAGTGGCCGAATTTTATGAAAATATATTAATATCAATGAAATATTTGTAAAGTCAATAGAATGTTCTATCAAGTCAAAGTGAATGTATTCTCTTTAAGTAGGACATGAAAGGGGGATTTAATTTTGTAACAATGCATCTCCACACATACATTTAAATCAAATACATTATCCAAATATTGTCCAATATTGGTTACATTTCTAAAGGTTCCAGCTTCTGACTTTTTGAAATGCAACCATTTGATAGGATAAACAAACAGAAGCTGGGTGAGAGATGAAACGAAACGAATTCTGTGGTCCTTCATACTGCACTGTATGTGTGCGTGTGTTCTGTCTTTGGGAGGGGTCAGATGTTCCATATTTATTTTCATGACTTTAATATGCTCAACTTTTTATGAATAGTCTATTGAAGGTTATTGAAATGTAAAGAGAAAGATGAACTAATCTATAAGTTTCTTTTGTCGAAAAAAGCGTACTGAAATTTGGTCTGTATTAAAATGAAAAGAAGCGCATGTCTAAAAATGATAATATTTACTCTCTAGAAGGATTTTTCCTATTTATTTATCCTTCAGTGTTCTTCATACACTCCAAAATAATTGTTTGTGAGAAAAGGCTTTATTTTTTTCCCCTCAAAAACATTTTTATTCTTGTGCATTTACCATGAGAAAGTCGATAAGAGAAAATTACTCATGAAACCTTTTATTAAGTATTCCCATTTACAGAATATGAAATATTTTATTAAAAAATGTCTAAAATTAACATTAACTAATTGATTCAAGGGAGATAATGAAGTATGTGACTTTAGTTATTGGTAACAAGTGATGCCGAATAAGAGCATGGAAGTCAACACAGTCATAACTACTGAGCATGAAATTTGACATGCCCACACACAGAAAAGCACAATTATTCCATGCAAAAAATCATTTTGACATCTTTTACAACAGTTATGGTTTTGTTTCCACATAAAAATACCATGATAAGCCTTGAAGTATTGTTTTTCTCTCGCTGTCAAAGTTTGCAACCATCCACAGATAAGTTTGGATACCCCTTTTCAATTATTCCAAACTTTATCAGATGTGATCTGTAACAGAAAAAGAACCTGCCAAAATTTTATCACTGTTTTAAAGTCCCCTTTTCTATTGGTGCAGAAGAGCAAAAAAATATCTCCATGAAATATTTGATATCTCTAAAATCAATCTTAGAGGTTGTCAAAACTTTTCATATTAACACCCTTCTGAATTATGAAATATTTGTTAGTGGGGAGTAGCTCTTGTCAAAATCTTGTATCAGTGTATTTCAAACTATGCTAGAAAATGAAAGAAGATACTTTTTTGTGACAGTTTTGTTTATTTTGGAGCTCTGACATTTTGACAGAATATATATACTTTTGATTTTTTTAAAATTGCTTGAAATACTTGACTGAGAAATCATAATGATTTTTTTTTTTAAAAAAAGTGCCCAAGAATGACAAATAGGTTTTCAAATAAAATGGATTTGAGAGCAGATTAGGGAAAATACCTGGTCAGTTTTTATCTTGACTTTTCATCCCTCTGTTCATTCCTGAATGGAACTCATACTTAATATCCATCTGATGGTCATGGCTCTCAACATAATTATAGACTTTAGGAAAACTGGGCTTTAAAAATGAAATATGAACGAATAATCGGATCACTATTATGACATGGAAAATTACATCCTAAGATTGAATTTCCAAAATAATTTTCTTTTGAAAGAGTTCTGTAGAGACATTAAATATGAATGAACTGATAAGATTTCATGGGAAAATTGAAAGCACTGGGATTCTGGGCAGATCTACTAAGCCAAAAGTACACTAGAAGAGGTTTAATAGCCATAATTTTATTATTTTGACATGAATTTTGGAATGGGAGGCAGCCTTCTCCTTTTTTATTTTATATGGGTAGGTCAAGGGTGAGTGCCTTTGCCTTTGTTGTTGCTGCATTGTGTTTTTGGACATGATGCAGGTACAGTCAATGATGTTGGTAAAGTTGTGAAATGGTCCATATTTCACTTTTGTCAGAGTTAAGACATGAAAACTGAACCAGGTAACAAAACAATACTGCCCAGGTGTAAGAGTGTCAAAAAGATGAGTGACACTTATACCAACCGCAGAAAAAAGAGGCAATGAACCACACATACATGCTTTGTATTTGTTAAGTATTACTAGTGTTCGTATTATTTCTTATGATATTAGGGTTTAGTGCACACACCTTTGAGGTCTGAGGTATCTTGAGATGGTATTACATCAAATTTTAATCACCATTCTGCTGTTTTCACCAAAATTTTAACTGAAAAAAAGTGAAGTGCATTTTTTCCTTTGTATGCTACCTGAGCATGATGCATCCCACTTTCCAAAGCACAAATAAACTGCCCCCATTATCTGTTTGTTATTCATTAATGTCTTTTTGTCATCATTTGCTGTAAATTGGTCCTATAGGTATAAATGATTTTTTTTTTGTGGATAATTTTTAGAAGACTTCAGACGTTTGCTTGTAAACATGTTCAAATAAACAATAGTTAAAAAAATTAAATGTTTGGAAATGGACCTTTTCTCTAAATTTTACTGTTGAGATAGTTGTGAACTTTTAGATTAAGTAGGTAAATTAAGAAGTACACATACATTATATGTACTTCAAAATTTTCCCATGAATCTGAAGAGAACTTGGAAAGAATCTTCCTAAATTTCATCAGATAGTTAGGAATTACTTGCATGAATTGGAAACCAGTATCTGGCAGATTCGCTCAATTGAAGACAACATCATAGTATATCCGATTTTAATGAAATCTTGAGGAATATGTTTTAGGAAAGAGAAGATAATGCAGGAGAAAGAAAATGAATTAGTAAATCAGTCTTAATGCAGTTCATCCTATATTTCATTGATAAACTGGTAAAATGTTTAAGGAACACCGCTATAAAAAGATAAACGAAACTCGTTTTCTTCTCTCTTTTTTTTAACATATTGCCTGTTCTTTGCTTTAAGGCAGGTTTACATCCTTTATTTAAAATATTGTTTATGACTCCTGGAAAAAAATGTTTGCAAAATAATGCTTTGAATGCTTTTTGAAAAGAAAAATTTAAATGTAGCTTTTTATCAGGGTTATCTATTTGTATATCAGATAGGTATAAATATACAAAAAAAATGATTATTCCGTATCTTGTCGTGTCATAGGTACGAATACCCTGGAGATATGGATGTAAGATTGCAAAACTGCAGATAAAATTCTGATAAGGGCTGGAACATTTAAGTTATGAATTATCTTAACATAAAAATGATTATATTAAAGAAGAAGGACCATAAAAATTGCATTTTTTCCCTATTGCCAAGGGGGGACAACTCAGTCTTTTCACAGCAATGCACTCATGAAACAGACGAAGGCTAGCATATGGCATCTGAAAGGGTTAAAAAAAATTTAAATGGACAAAGCACATGTACACGACTTAGCTTTTATATATATCATGTATAGCTATGTCATGGATATGATTTTTGCTGCATTTAATATTGACATATGGTGCTGTATTGCTATATGTTGAAAGAAATAAATCACTTAACAGAATTAACCTGTTGGGCTCTCATTACAGTATCACAGTATCTGTATATGTAAATGAATCTCTATAAAATTATTCCTTTCAATGAAAAATTGTCTACTTTCTTTTTTCAACTCATTAATATGTGATACAAATTCGAGTTATCTTTCAATTTTTTTGCAGATCCCGAGCCTAGCCCTGTCACCACTTCCTGTCCCAGTTCTGAGGATGCCCACGTCTGCGGAAAATGTCGTGAGGAGTTCCTAGGACTGGAGGAGTTCCTGTCTCATAAGAAGGTGTGCAGTAGTAAAGTTGTATTGGTATATGAGGGGAAAGACAGTGAAAACACTGAAAACAGTGACCTGGATTTGGGTGATCTGAACCCTCCCTCAAAGGTTCCCCGATATTCTGACCCTGAGGAGTATAACTGTGGAGGATCGGACGGTGAAGGAACTGACTATATGGATAATTTTGATGACGACGAAAATGAAATAATGGATGCAGAGGACCAAGAAATAGCTAATGAGGAAATAGACGAAGACCTGATGAAAATCTCGATGATGAATGCTGCTGCCGCAGCGGCAGATGAGGAAATCTCCACGGATAGCGAGGAGGATGAGGAAAATAATAACACTACTGACAGTAAGAGTGAGGAGAAGTGTTCAGATGACAATAAAGAGAAGACAACAGGTGCCCTTCCAGGACCCCTTATGTTTCCATTCTCACAATTTCTACCTACAAACTCAAATGTGACCTTGGAACCCATGAATGCCACTCGTGCAGCTGTGGCCCAATTTGCTGAGAACAATTTAGCCCCAGCAGAAATTGCTTTGTTGCACTCCACACTTTTCAATTTACAGCAGCAGCAGATCTTGCAACTTCAGTTGATTCAGCAACTTCAGTTACAAGTAAACATGGGAGGCACCCCAACCTCATCTCCTCTGCCATTTTTGCCACCAGTTTTGCCCTCACAATCATCATCTCAGGAATTCAACAATCAGAAACCTCAGCGCAGTAACAGTGTGGATGAGGACAGTGTGCAGGATCTGAGTAGTAGCAAAGAGGACAAGCCAGAGAAAACTCCGGAAACTTCCGGGAATGAAGGGATGGAATCAAAGCCAGCATCAATCACAGCCTCAGCATCCCCCTCCCCGGCAGCGCCGACTCTACCCCCATCTTTACCCTTGTCTGGCAAAGATCTTGTGTCAGCTGTTCCACCACCCACCTCAGAATTTGCCAAGCTTACAAAACGTAAGTACCTTCATTAATGTTTTTGTATCATTTTGTTAGTTTAGACTTACAAATTTCCTGGCAAGATGGCTGTATGTAATATACCAGTAAACAAATAATTACTGGTTAAAGGTAGCCACTAGTCAGGTAGTAAACATATGTCCTACAAAAAAAAAATTGTGGAATGGAAGTTGTCTTTTCTGCATTGGCATGTTTAAATATGGAGTAACTAAGTGCTACATTACAAGATGATGTTATTAATTTTCAAAATTAAATAAATTGTCATTGGGATAAACAGTACGTGATAAATTAATTTTGTAATAAACACATTCATTGCTAATCAGAATTTCACTTTATGCTTAATGTCATTTGGTGTTGCATTACCTAACGACAAACATAATTTACATGAATTTAGCTGTAATATCAAATATTGTGATCATTTTTCTGTCAAATTTCATCAGATAAGAGCCTGACATTTTTTGGCAAATGTATTTTATATTAATATCCTTAATTTACAAATTGCCATTTTGTCAGGACCATTAATTCAACCCAAGTCATAATTGCACAATTTATAACAAAACTTTTAATTCCACTTTCAAAATGCATATTTTGGTTGCAGGTCGATTCATGCCTGTAACAGGTAGAATAAGGGTCTGTATATGAAATTTAAACACCCCGACTGCATGGCACTGGTACAGTGTAACAATCGAAATTACTTTCAAATGTCAGACAGAAATATGATAAATGACAAATTTGCGGATATACTTGAAACGCTGAATAAAAATTTCCTGATTTACGACAGAAAATATCAGGCAGTGGTTTTATTCTGCAGTCGCACTAGATATCTTTTAACTTTGGATAATAGTCAAAGGCAAAAATGCAGGGGAAATAACTGCTGACACGTAATTTCTCAATTGTCCATTTTAGTAAAATGTAGAGAATGTGTCTGATCTAAAGTCTCCATGATGGGGGCTGCAGGAAATTTTAGAATTATTAATTTCAAGTCTGAGTATCGGTATCTGAGTGGTGATGTGCCAAATGACATATTTTTGATTGATTTTTTCTTTGATATGTAATAAAACAGTAATGATAAGAGACAAATTATGAAGTATAACAGATATGTATTGATGGAATGGCGATCCTGCCGAGATGTAACAGAGCACGGCTAACATTTGATCTAAAGCTTATGTGTCGGAGCGACAGATTTTTTTCACCTGGGGGTCATAATATTCAATCATTTGAAAGCATTATTGTTTTATATTGATGTCAGAAATATGAAACTAATAATTTGTGATGGGCATAGTGTATTGATTCATCTCTGAGATAATGTCACGGCTAAGGCCTAGGGACTGCAATGAGGGGAAAATATTCGTCATTTCCTACTAAAAACTACACTGGTGTTGGTAGAGAGGGGATTTGTGTAATGTACTCGGCAACCATTAGTAACCTTCTTTGACACTTGATGAGCTGTTTTCCTGCTAATTTGAAGATGATGAATTCATAGGTGATGAAAAGATTGATTGCAGAAAGAAAAAAATGCAATGGTATGATTTCTGGAAAATTGCTTCTGTTGAAACAGAGCAGCTATTTCACCACTATGCCATAAAATATTTTTGATTCCATTTATCTTTGAAGTTTTCCTAAATATTCCACAGAAGCAAGGGAGGATTAGAAAATATTTAAAGAAAGTAGATGAAACTTGGTGTACACTTTCAATGTTGTCTTTGGCAAATTGTAATAAAGAAATATGTGATTCAAACACATTGCTATTTTTATAAACACAGAAGTTAAATACTTAATAATTAATTTGAAGGAATGAACAAAATATGTGCAATGACATTCAAAGCAGGGAAAGTGCAAAAATGCACTAAAGTGAAATATGGGCAATGATTTGAGGGGGTAAATATTTTCAGTTTTTTCACGTCTTTATGAAAAATGGCGTCACTTTACCAGACCTGATCTTTGATCTTCTGAAAATTTTGATTTCACTTGACAAGTGTCTGAAATGGAAATTCACAGACATCAAAGAAGAAGGGATGTATGTAATGTTGGGCTGGCACAACGATTTGGTTACCATTGATCACTGTAGTCCTGCTGATTACATTGCTGTTGCAGCTCGGAGGAAAACGTTGACATGGCCCTACAATAAATCGCTTTTGAAGTTGCACAATAAACCATTAGAAAATCTGTAATAACCATATTACCTGTTAAGCTAGGTCATAAAATTTCTTCATAAATAGTTGGAAAATGAATAAAATTTTGTATTTCAGTTATACAATATTTTATATCTCTTTGATAATGAATTTATATTAGGTTTAATGGCTTGTTGTTCAAAAGTTTGCTTCCAATAATTTCTTCCTTGGCCATTATTTTACATCCTTTAGGGTTCATGTTTTTCTTTATTAAAACATTCCGGAAATTGATTGTTTTATCATCTTTGATGAAATGAATTTCAGTTTGTATTTCAATACACCAGATAATTACAGCAAGTTAAAGGGATGGGTGATAGTGTTACCAGGGGAGGTAATTCTAGATCTTTTCTTAGATGTTACTAAAATTAAATATTAAAGGTTCTTTACTGAGCATCTTAGATAATATTTGTACAAACTAGGCCATAAAATTAAAGATAGAATTTTGTTCATGTCTTATAAGCCACCTGTGTCACTAGATTTTCAGAATCATTTGAAATATTATTATTCGTAGTATTGTTCTTGAAATTCTAAACCTCTCTGAAAATTTTCAATAAGAAATAATTAAGTCCCATAAGAAATAAAGTCCCACAAGTTTTCTTTAGAAAGTATAAAATTCATGATTAATATTCTTTTCAGTAAAGATAATGACTGGAAACTAATTATCATGTGGATATTATGAAGAGACGTACAAATATTACTGGTCTTTTGTGTAATTGATTGTATCTGAGTCTGCCTCCCTCTTTGTTTAACTCCCTGTAACCCCAGGTGGTATTCTAATACTGTTAAACCTTCATTGATGTATGAGAACTGAATTCAAATGATTAATCTTTTTAATCATAATTAATGACATGTGAAGAATAAGAGTTTACTTAATTTGATTGAAAAGGATAGTTTGAGAATTAAATGTACATGCACTGGCATTGAAATCAATTAATATTTTGATCCTAGGAATTAGTTTCAATAAATCAGGACTCCATTGAAGCCTTAAAAAGATGATACACTCTTGCTCTTCTAAGTCTGCAGTCTAAATAAAGATCCTGTCAAAAGAGTTGACCTCTGTCAGTTATTTCCAATGATAGGGAGAGCTTGTGTCAGCGAGCGTATTTCCAGGCATTAAAAGGAGCCGCTCATAATATCGCCCGTCAGCCACCCTTCTGCTGTGAGTCAATATGAGAAATATCATAAACCATTTTCCAATACAATTATTCTGTGAAGATGCAAGAATTTGTTGTCAGTTTCGATAGAAAGGCATCAAGCAAAAATAAATCAGGGCTCGCGAGCTGATGATGGATCAATATCCGCAAATATGAAATATACAAGGCAATTGAATCAAAGGGTTAAGCCCCACCGTAATTATGAATGTTAAAAGAATCCATTAATGCAAGAAGAAATGGCCAGGGGTGAGAGAGATCATATAAATATGATTATTGCACGAGGAGAGAGCTGAATTGGTCTTCCAATAAACTTGTGACAATTCAGAGAGCCCTGCTAACGGCACAAGTTTGTCACTGCTAGATCTAAGTAGTCTAATTGTAACCATTTTGATATAAAAACCTGGTGAATATAATTGGTCCTGGAGAATGCTATGGAAGTATTTGTCTTAAATTTAAAAAAAAAAAAAAAAGTAGTTGTTTTGAATATACTTACAGCCAATTGGTAAAGGACAGGAAAATGGATGGGACACTATGACAGTGGGGGTGGGGGGGGGGGGATCGAGTACTTTACCCCCTCGGTCTAAACAATATTCAGTATGAACACTGACAGAAGATTCTATATTGAGATAGATGAATGCATTTTTTTATTGGTCAGTAAGATCTATTGGAATGTCCGTAGGTTTTGATTTGTTGTTTCCTTAATGACAGGGTCAGATGATTGGGTTGTATATGAATGCTGCTATGATTTATAGTGAGCAGATGAGGGGGGATCAATAGCTTTCATGTCTCTTGTCTGACAAATGCATTCTCTATGGCATATTTTTTCTTTTTCTTAATTTCCTTGCACGAAAGGGAATAAAATTCAAAGAAAAGATTCGATCTGCCTTGCCAAGATTTGGACATTTTATAAGGAGATTATTAGAGATCAGATCATATTGGTACTGGATATTCTTTTGTCTTCTTTCATCCATTAAATTTTATTGGGGGCTAAATGATTTTTTTTTACATCTTCAGAATATTCAGTATTTATTTAAGCATTGAGTTTGAAGTACATACAGCAGAACTCAGAAACAATATATACATACCTGCTCAAAGAGAAGATAAATAACAACATCAAAATAAGGTCAAGAGCATGGTGACCTTATGGATTCTTGTTTCTCACTTTCAAAAGAAAAATATGGGATTCCTTATAATGGTCATAATTGAAAATCTCAATACGACCTTCCTGTGTATTCATAAAAATCATTTCTCACCATAGCTTAAGTATAAAATAACATTGGAATATGGGTACAAAATAACTGTTTGTTTTCATTAAAAATATTAATTTATCTTCCTTAAAGATACACCCAGCTGACCTCTTGGTATTGTTGATGAAAATTTGATAAGTATGAAAATACATAATGGTTTCTTTTGGTGGGAATTTAAATGTATTGAAAGGTTCGCCTCATTTCTCTGACATCTGAAAAATTTTAACGCCTGTGTCTTTGAACCTGAGTGTTCCAATTAAGAAAGTCTGATGGACAGACAGACAGACAAGTAATCAAATATGACCCAAAATATCTCCATTAAAATTTCAAGTCTAGAAATAGCTGTGTTTCGTAATCTTCTGATTCATCTTGTAAACTCATTAATGTATACGTAGGGCAGATAAAAGATGTTAAATATTTGTCCGGAT